ATTTTCTCAACCAGGGTTGAGGTGTAATTTAACAAACAAGTAAGACAAAATATAACACTTAAAAATAGAGGAGAGCTAGACGAAGAAGAAATAACGTATTACGAGAAGAAAGATCAAAAACAAAATGTAAATATGATAATAATGAAAAGTGAAAGTCCGAGGTTGACACACGGATGACTTTTGGCCCAAAGCTCGCGTAAGTTTCCGAGAAAGATTGCTTGATATGTCCCACTTAGTTGAAAGATGCAATTCCTTGGTTGCATATAGAGAGCGTGTAGGAATGCCTAAATGAGAATCTCAGCTTGAGCAGGCAGCGAGTATCTGGGATAATGTTATGATTTTATTATTATTTTGAGAAAAAGGGGTTGTTATATTGCAAATAATACTGATAGTTTTGTGTACCTAGCGTGTGTTGAAAGTGAATGTATTTATTGCCGTGAATGTAGGGTGAGAAGCCAATGACGGAATATTGAGAATCTATCGACCCTCATTAGGTTAATTATACAATAGGTGTAATGGGTGTTGGAGGAATATAGAGTACTACCACTCTAACTGAGTGAATAGTATGTAGAAACGAAGAATGCATTTAAAAGTAAGAGAGGGAATAGGTTTGGTGATTGTGTTGGGTACTGAATTGACCTAATTGTTTTTATACCCTGGAGCCCAAACGACGCCTGCCAGTATAAAGCTGAAATTGCCAGTGGACTGCGAGAAATGATGGCTCAAACACTACATGCGTGTGCAGATTTGAGCATATATAAGTTCAATAAGCTTGCAGATACAAACAGGCTGATAGCAAATTATAGCTAATCACGAGAATTGATGGATTATATGCAACCGATCATGAAGTATGATGCAAATAAGCCTCTTGCTGTTTAAATATCCATTTCAATTATGAGATAGTCAGATAGGGGTTAGCTTGCGTTAAAAACGTGATTTAGGTGGATAAAAATGAGCAGAAGAATCAGCACGAGACAAGTGTTCCGGACTTTTGGTAATAAAGTAAATAATTGTTTCTTACATAAATTAATCTTATGTAAAGGATTATCCAAAGGAAAGTTGTATTTCTGAGAGAGATTTAGCTTTTGCACCAAAAGATATTTTTGTTTATAATTTCTCGATCAAGTAACCTAGGTAGTCGGAAGGGAAGCAAATTTATCACCTTGAGGCAGAATTTTAAGTGTACTAATATTTGTTCGAATTTTTTCTGTAATTCGTTTGGCAAGCTGAGGTTATTCTAAAAATACTTAATAATTTTTGGTGTATATTCAAGGTGCATAAAAACGTAAACAGATTTAGTAGTTTCCTAGAGAAAATTAGATGGGGCTGTAATTAGAAATCGTAAGTTTTACATTTTAAACCGTTATACTCGAACAACATAACCGTCTAAAATTCGCACCAATTTTTAGCATTTGATACAGTTGAAGTGGCACTGCACAATCTTCACTGAGGAACTCTAGTTCCTTCGTCTAATTCCTCACTGAAGCTGTTGCAAAGCCGAAACGTGTTTAAGTAGCATTAAAACACGCTAGTGTAGACGGACCCAGTGCTAGTTCAATGTATGTACGACTAAATAGTACGTAACATGAAACAAACCTAATGTGTTAATTTTCTCTGAATATTCTATTATCATTCTTGTGGTAACAAAACAATGTGTGTTATTATCATTGTTATTCCGTCACTATTCTCATCCCTAAAGCTCACAAACCCCCAACCAGATTTCATCCTACACACCTATTAGCCTGCTTCCTGCAATGTCCAAAATCCTAGAACGACTCCTTTTAAAACGCAAAATACCAATCATTGACACCTATAATAACATTCCTTCTCACCAATTAGGTTTCCGTCCTCAACATTCCACTATCCAACAATGCTTTAGAGTAGTCGACACCATCCTATCGGCTCTAGAAAAAAGGAGTATTGCCTGGGCGCGTTCTTAGACGTAGCACAGGCTTTCGACAGGGTCTGGCATCCAGGCATACTGTTTAAACTTAAGCGCTTCCTATCCTCTCATTATTACCTTTTATTGAAATCCTACCTAACCGATCTATGTTTCAGAATGAGGTGCGGTAATGAATTTTCGGAAGTCAAACAGACACAGGCCGGTGTACAGCAAGGTAGTATCCTTGGTCCTGTCCTATATGTATATCATTTATTATACAGCTGACCTACTAATAATCTTGACACTATTACCACCATGAAAGCGGACGACACCGCAATCCTATCCTGTCCAAGCTACCTTCAACATCCAGGAACACCTTGAGATTATTGAAGACTGGTGTAAAAAATGGAGGACAAGACTGAACGAAGAAAAATGCACTCAGTGTACTTTTACGCTGAAAAAGCAGTTTTGTCCTCCATTGTACATCAACAACAAAGAGATACCAGTTTCCACTCAAGTCAAATACCTGGGAGGACTATATCTTGACAGCAAACTGACGTGGAATCCCCACACAAGACTTAAAAAACAGCAACTTAATACAAGACTTGGACTACTATGAAGACTTTCAAGGCCGAAATCGACTTTGACGATTAAGACAAAGCTAACACTGTACAAGATTTTAGTAAGACCAATATGGATATACGGAGTGGAACTGTGGGGCACTGCCAAGCCTTCCAATATCCAGCGCATCCAGTCCTTCCAATCCGAAAGTCCTTAGACAAATTGTCAAAGCACTTTATATGTCACTAACCTCACTATCCACAACGGGCTAAACATTCCTTTTGCCAACAAACTAATCCGGTCCAGATTCCAAATCTTCCATACCAACCTTTCGAACCATCCTAACCATACTGCTCGAGCACTATCCACTCATTCTCATCCTGACAACCCACCACGTCGCCTCAACCGACGATGGCCTCGGGACCTCCTTGACCCTTAAATGATTAATGGCTGGCTCCTCAAAGCATGTCTCTTATCCGTCCCTTCTCCGAGGCTGTCAACAGCTAGGTCATTTCAGTCCCAACATACACATTTTTTAAACCTAGAAACATACACTCTCATTCATTCTTATATATTTTTTTCCTGTGTATACACCAGACATTCGAGTAGGGTGGTGGGTAGGGTGCTCACTTATTCCACCATCACCACACTGTACATTCACTATAATAAATACATTCACTCTTAATGTAACCAAAAAGTAGCGAGATATCAAGTATTTAACAATATATACAATAAATCATGTGTCCTACAAAATTGGAACAGGGACCAGAAGACTCGGTGCAGTGCTCAAGCGCAATTCTCATATCGGGTGGCGCTCCTGCCCGCTCTCTATATAGAGCCAATTCAAAATTTCAATTAAGTGCTTCATATCGAGCAACCTTTCTCTACCGGCCGAGTACATACGCGGGCTTTGTCCGAAAAAGCAAGGTCCTTTTGGCAACCAAGAATCGCCCAACCTAAGTTTGAAGAAGTGAATACTTTTTCTTCCATTCAGATCCTCTGATGGTAACCTACCGACCGTCATGAAACTTCCGGCTTTCTCTGAGGGACTAATAAATTTCTTAACTTGTATTTTTGTTGTAATTAAGACAAGATCACAACGAATTATTTATTTAAAGAACATTATGGACATTAAATAGAGGGGGGGGTGATTTACCCTGATGGCGACAGATGGTAGTTCCCACCTGCAATATGGGCTGTGGAGGGGTTCTACTATAGAGATGTACAATTGTACAAAAATGTCTTTTTTGCCGGGGTGGATACATTGTCCGCCATGAGAGGTTTCATGTATATATGCACGTATAAACATGCGACTGTATAACAGATATTAATACGTAGTCGCTGATCATTGTCTTCTAGCAATCCATATCTGTATATAGTAGTCATAATTGATTGTATTAACTATTTTATTCAATTAATTATAATTATATGTATTAATTATTTTAATCTAAGGCTTGGTGATGAAAAAGCAAGTGTCACGAGCAGGATTCAACTCCCTCCCCCCCAGCCAAGGTCGTAGTTTATTATTTTTTATATTTTTTTTTAAACGAGGGGTTGCAACAGCAGAGATCATATAAACCCTCAGGGTGCTGGTCTTTTTGAAAAAAAGCCCATTTGTAAGTATGTCAGGTTCGAATGAAGGGGCGCTGGATTCGAACTCGGAAACTTCACCTTACAGCGATGAGCGCCGTGTCAACGCCTAAACCGTTGCGGCCACCGACGCCCCTAAAGATCATAGGTTTGAATCCCGCTCGTGACACTTGCTTTTTCTTCTAGTTAATTCATAGTTTCATCTAGATAGTTTCTTATCGAGTAATTATCGTGTGCATACTTTTTCTAACACAATTTACTTGTGTGATCGTATGAGAAAGATTCTGAAAAAAAATACGAAAAGACCTTTATCAATTAGGCGTTTCATCAATTAAACAGGTCATTCCTCTTCGTTCAGTACAGAAGCTTAAATATAATCTGTCTTATATGATTCGCGGTGTAGTGGGAGGAAGGAAAAGAAAATTTCGTTCAGAAGAAACCATACAGGAGTATCTCTTAACTTTAAAAAGATAGGTCTCTCGCTGTTTGTCGTTTTATAACTATCCGGATTTCAAGCATTAAAGCTCATCATCAGGTTGAACGAATTACAAGCACGTCTCCCGACATTGTAGGCGTGAGTGTAGAGTAAGGGCCACTCTTATAATTTATGTCGGGAAACGTGCTTTTAACTCCTTCAACCTGATAGCTTTTATGCTAGAAAACCGGATAGTTGAAAACAACAAACTGTGATTAAGAACTATTTTTTTTAAAGAGATTAGACAACATACGCACCCCACTTTTTTCATTTCTAGAGGAGTATTGTTTTTCCGTTCTGTGAAAATGGCACATGTTCAAAGCCAGAATGTTGCTTCATTTCCTGCCACCGCGAAATATCAAACAGGACGTATTTAAACTTGACAAAAATCATAAGTAGTTTTCATTTATTTATTTTATGGTTAGTAATAATTAAGTTGATTGTTATTTGTTAGTAATTGGCAAGTTTGTTTAGGTTTATAATGCGATTTACCTTTTCTTCGTCTTTTTTGCTTCTTCTTGCGGCAAGCATTTGGAACGATTAGACGTTCAGTGTCTATTAAACTTCCCGAAGAAAACTCCAAAATCTTCATCATGAGGCACATAAGCACTACCAACATGTCAGCCGATCTTGTCTTGTCGGAAAAATCTTGAATTTCGACCGGACAATAAACATTTCACCGAAGGCTGCTAGACGTGCGCCAAGGCAAGGGTAGAGGGGTAGTTCCGACAAGGGACGAAAACGCGTTCTCTCTGCGGCATCGATAAAAAGTTCAAATTTCAAATAAACACAAAAAATGCACACCAAAAAAAAATTGTTCACAGATGACTTAAATGAATGAGATGGTTAATAGAGCCGGAAGCGGGGGCGATTATTGTGACTCAGTAGGTTTTTAATAATGGGCGACTTGTTAGAATAGAAGCCAAGGGTAGGATCGCGCGGATGTATAAAGCACCTGGACGATTTAGCCAAGCATTAGACCCAGCGTGTAAAAAGTTGAAATCCGACTGAACCCGGGTTTAACGCTATCACTGATACGTGCCAAGTGTCTGCCGTTGGTAATAGAACTAAATATAACTTGTGCTCGTGTGAGAGGGGCTGAGGGACTCTTCCGATGTACAGTCAAACGCAAAACTAACGCGCGCACTGGGCCTGTTGGCAAACAAATTAAAAATTTGGGAATGTTCAATTCACAAAAAATAATAACCTATGGAAGATCTGTAATCTCAATTTGCATTCTTCACACTAAATACAGATATAAACTATATCGGTGTCGATGGGAGTCCAAAAATGCTAGTTTTCAGGGCAGCGTTGTTAAAGATTGCCTTGCCCGAAACCCTAACATCATACTTATTTACCGTGCTGAATAAATAATGAACAAATGAAAATTCAGAATTTTTGTTAAAAAATCCTCTAAGCAAATAAACAAAATTATATTGTTAAAATTCTAAACTAACAAGAGGACGACCAGGTTGGTGGGTCACGGATTTGGACCAGATTTTTTTTTTCGTGAATCTAAACTCCAAAATATCGGATATGTATCCGCCATTCTTGTGAATAGGCTCTGGTTTCGCCAAAAACATTTTAAAGTTGAAATTTTCCGTTTTTTTTACTTTCCCTTTCTACTTGCTCAAGTCAACTATGTGAATATATTATCATTTTTCAGCATTTTTTATATAGATTAAGATAGAAATATCGTAAAAGCTATCGAAGTTTATCAATAACCAAATAAATGTCAAAAAAACGAATATTTTTCAAATAAACCAAGTCGTAAATTTTTTTTCGTGAAACTAGAGCACCTCTAGAGACCCCTAAATATAATTTCTTGTGTGTGGTGATTAGTGACCATTAGTCGATGATTATTCAGAAATCGTGAGATGCGGTCTGGTGTGATGTAGGTTTCAGAAAAACATTTTCTTTATCGTGCCAATGTTTCGATCTTTACTGAGATCATCTTCAGGGCCTGGGATTTACAAAAATTGTTTAAATTTAACAAAAAAAATGTAGGATGTCGGAAAAAGTGAATTTATACAAAGCAAAAAAAAAATTTAACCAAAGTATTTCTACTCACTACTCTTTGAGTAGTTGAGTAGTAGCTTTCTACTAAACACTTTGATTGCATACAAAAAAATTTTTTTTTGCATTTTATAAATTCACTTTTTTCCATATCTTACATGAATTTGTTAAATTTAAACAATGTTTGTAAATCCCAGGCCCTGAAGATGATCTCAATAAAGATCGAAACTTTGGCACGATAAAGAAAATGTTTATTATGAAACCTACATCACACCAGACCGCATTTCACGATTTCTGAATTATAATTTCTTGTTTGAATTTAAATTTATCGATTTTTTGACCTCTAAAATTTATAATAAATAATATCTGTTTGAAACGGCTATAAGGATTTTAACGTCAAACAGACCATTTCCATTTTTCCAGACGATTTCCATGCCGGTCACTCAACTGCTGAGAATTCATTATGTCCTTTTTACATATTATATAACTAGCTCGCCCTCTTACACTACACATTCACACTAATAAATACATCCACAAAAAGTAACAGCGAGATATCTACCAAGTACTATATACAAAAAAAGCTCTGTTTTCACTAAATTAATCAACATCCCAGCCGAGCTTAATACAATTAGCGAAGTAATAGATTGAATTCAATGCAAGAGGAGAGTATCTAGGACATCCGATTTCAAACGTTTGTAAATATTAGTAGTGAATATGATTTTACAATTAAATCATTAAAATAATTACATTAATAATAATATTCCAAGAATAGATTCAGCGCCTATATATGGTATTATAGATCTTCCTCAGGCCAGTGAATCTGCTTTTTCGTTATCAAAAATTCCCTTGTGTCCTGACACCCAAGGAATCATCCGGTTGTTGTTTTCGAGATTTTGGATGCTGACTTGACTATCCGATCTTATGAGGATTTTTTGCCAGAGTTACCCTTTTAAAGATTTTCAAAGGCAAAAGCGTTGATGGCATGTATTTCAGCTTGAAAGACTGGGGTATATTACTCATTTGTTTTGGAGCCATAAATTATATCGTACCATTGTATCAGATTTCCCCTGAATTCTTCTTTCCTTTTGTAGTCTGTTGAATTTATAGGATGTAAAGAATGTTTCCGAGACATGTAGTCAGTCGCCATTTCTAAGGGGGATGGGTGTCTTATTGTATTAATTATTATTGCTGTGTGTCCGAAGTGTTTTTGGTTCTCATTCAGTTTGTTTCTGGAACGCTTTTCCTCGCTTCTCCTTATATAAATATTTCCAATGGAGGTAGTTTAGCAGAGTAGATTCTAGTGCAAATGAGGTGGTTTTCTTGCCCTTGTGATTTGCCTTGTGATTGTTGGTTTGCCAGTCTTTGAATGTTACCTAATGTTTGGGCAGATTGTTTTATATTGACCTTGGTTAACCAGATTAGTGGGCTGTAGAATAATTTATGCCGTTAATCCATAATAAAATACTAATTATGTATTTTATTGTAGCTAATGTCAATGTTTCAAGTAGAGAGAAACTACTTCAAAATTTGTTTAATGCCCCAATGTAAGAAAATTGCGATGTTAGACCTGTTCAACTGCTATTGATAAATTACTTCCCGTCATTGTTTATTTACTCAGCTCAAAGGATCAAAAAGAGAGAAAAAAAGATTGATAGTTTGGGTAAAAGAATAGTCGGATTTCCCGATCCGCCAAAAAGGGTGCTGACGCTTGGCAGCTTGATTGACAACAATCAACATTATTGAACAATTGATATTGCATGAGATTCTTCCGACTTTATTCGAACGAATTGAGATAGCCCTGAACCAGATAGTGCCAGTTGGCAACATCATCAGCGAAAAAGTATTTTAACGTAGACAATAATCGAAAGATCGATTATTAACGTTCTGCATTAATATTGAATATGGAGTGTACAAGAAATCGCTCATCAAAGAACAACATACATGCGTATTTATATGTATATATATTTTTATATTTTTTTAACCTGCATTCTTCGATGCAACAAGTAAAACATAATATATACATATAAACAATAATAACAGTAGCATGAAAGCTTGAACAATTACCATCCAGTGATGGTAGCCGTTAGTAAATCAGTAGGATGAGCGAGATGGACTCCGTCCTAGGAGACCGATGTCATATGTTAAGGTTGTCGCGGGGCCATCGACGCTTCAGTCTTCTGTTTGGATTATTAGGTAATGAATGACAGGGTTTTGACGAAAAGGTCGGATGATGGGGTTGTTTGGAATGGAACGTTTTATAGCGGGATTGGGCTACCTCGGTAACAAGAGGGACATTTAGGTCGTTGTGGATGGTGGGATTGGATTTAGAAAGGGGTGTTGACTATTGTTCTGAGGATTTTGGATTGGAGGGACTGGATTCGATTGAGGTTGGAACGCTTAGCAGTCCCATAAAGATCAAGTCCGTATGTCGAAATGGGGGCCAGGAGGGCAATGTAAAGTTGTTGTTTTTTTGTTGGTGAGAGTTTTGATCGTCTGTCGGGTGGTCGTTTGAGCATGAAAAATCGTATGTTACAGTCTGTGTGCTTATGTCGTGTATGGGAGTTCCACGTCAGTCGTTTGTCCAGGTATTGTTCGCAATTGGAATGGGAACGTTATTGAGGTATGCTGGTGGGAGTGTTTTCTTGTTTAGGGTAAATATTATGTTGATTGGCTTTCGTTGATCTTGATTCTCCACTGTCGGAGCCAGCATTCTAGGATGTGTGTTTTGTTGTGATGTGATTTTGAAGATAACGGGAAGCTGTGACAGGATCTTTATCAGGAGAAAGGATTGCGGTATCATCGGCAAAGGTGAAGGTGATAGTGTTAAGTTGCGTAAGTAGGTCGGAGGTATAAATTGAGTAAAGGAAAGGAGCGAGCACACTGCCCCGTGGGACCTGCTTGAATAAGATGGATAGGAAACAATGAATTTCTGTGGGATACTTGGAAATATGGGTAACATGCAATCAAGCATAACGTTTTTTTTTTCTTTTTTTGTTCAAATGAAAATTCTTTTCAATTCGTCTTTCTATGGACAAACAAAAGCTGTACAACAACAAAATACACATTACGCTAAATTGTAAGTTATCAATATTTCCAATATAATTACTAATAATCCGTCAATATTATAATTTTATATTAAAAATAGGGGGAATGCCAACTTGAAGAAAATATAAAGTTCTTTCGTCTTGCTTTCCAGAGATAATTGATATATTTACAAAATTGAATCTTTTGGTTTGAACTGTAATGAAATTGTAAAGCAAATTAAAAAAATTAAAGACCTGGAATGCACATCGTAAGAGGACCCACGACAGAGCACTAAAGGACAATGGAGATTCCAAAGACTCTATGATAGAACTTTGGGCTTAAATAACTAAGATGACCCGTATGATTATACCTTACGATGATCACATACGTAAAACACAGATGGTGCTTTAAAATAGAACAATTAAATGAAAAAGAACTACTACAAAAATGCAAAGAATAGCATGTCTTAACATTACCATTTCTCTTAACCACAGCTGCACTATCCTCAAACTGTCACGCTAATGTATATACATAATAAATACATGTAAAATGTGTATATACACGCACCGACAGGGAAAAATCTCATCCACTTTTAATATAGCTTGATTTGTACCTATTTTTATATTTTAACCAAAGGTTCACTTTTTTTAGGTTTAATAATCGAGTTAACAGTTAATTGGACAGTCAATGAATAACAAATAATAAACCCATGTTATGTTTTTATTGTAGTACTCAATTATTGATCGTTCAATAATTTCAATAATAATTTCCATCAAAATTTTCGGAAATTTCATCAAAGTTCTTATTCCAAGGACATACTCACTTTTACATTTTTTAGAACTTTTCTTAGAGAAATATCCTTTGCAAGGTTGAAAAACTTGATATCGAACCCAAGGAGAGCGGCAACACAAGTACGTCGTGTATGTGATATTACTACTGAAAAATTTATTAATTGGTAACAAAAATCATCCGTGTGTAGTGATAGAGAAAGAAGATCAATGGGTAAAACCTGCACTTGTCAGGA